GTGGCACCAGGTTTTTAAGGGTTTTACACAAATAAATACTACAACGAAGCGTTCGATGTCGGTTGACGATCTAATTCTACCTCCTGAGGTGGATGGGAGGTGGCCCGTGGCTGGAGCTGGCATGTTGAGCCCCTGATAGGCATATAAGGGGTGTGTGCATCACAGGTGGTGACCTGGAGTCCGTGTTGTAGTGCGTACTGTAGAGATAACTTTATGGTAGTTTTGTATGTGTTAAGATGGTAGAAGCATTTTGTAGCCTCAAGTCTGTAGTATTTAATATGCATAATATAATTGAATTTCCTTCTGCATTTTGGTGAGAAACAAAAGTGTTTTACTATTATTTCTACTGATTATTCTGTATATCCATGCATGTAACGGTTTCAAAGCTGCCTGTCTGTGACTCTCCAGAGCCTTTGTTTTGATCACATCCTTTGTTTCAGAAGATTTTACTATTATTTCAATTAACCGAGTCATCTGTAACTTAGTGCATGGAGAAGCAGTTTCATGCTACCAAATGTCTGGACTGTGTAAATGGAACTTCTCAACTTCTGCCACTACGTTTTGTTAAATGTATGTTTAAAAGAAGTATGCATCTTTTATATATTTTGCAGAGTTGAATATATGGCTTACCCAAGTTCTGAATGCTTTGTAACAATAATGTTTTTTCCTTGAAATGGCATTCAGTAGTATATATGGTACCTGACCAATGTTTATTCCATCTAACCGAGCTAAGTATTCATTCTATAAATCACTATTTCTATGGATGTTTTGTGAATCTTTATATGTGAGCTGTGGAGAATAAGGACCAAGTAACTGTGTTATATGTTTACAAAGGTACTTATTTAACTAAGATAACAGAGGTGCAGATATCAGCATATAAATCCACCTGAAGATGCCCTGTGTCTCAGTACATAAAACATGAAAAATGCATGTACTGTTGTGACCTTACCAAGCGTAAGCTTTCCTTTATACCCTCTTATCATGAGAAAGTCTTTCTATCTGTGCTGTTCAAAGATTGTTGGATTTCCCTGTGTTCTGTTGCCGCTCTGAGCATGAGCTTGGTGCTACTGGAGAATGTAACTGGATTGACCAAATAGCCCAGGTTCAGAGGAACTCATGCTAAAATAGCCAGTGCCTGGCTCATAGCCCACTGGGATTTCTCCCTGGAAGATTCCTCACTGCAGAATATTGGATGCGTTGACATGAAGTAAAGCCTGAAACACGATACGATAATCAAAACTGATCATCTGCATTTCTAAATAAAAGTGTATCAGTATATAATCTTGTATGAGCTGTAATGTGGAAAGCATCTTAGCTTAAAACAGCTTAGTTTCTTCTATGATTGTTGTAACCAATTTATGGCTACTTGGTGGATGAATCTATATTGTGATATCTATTTGACCCTAATAAAGTTATTGCATACAATTTGCTTTTTTCAGAGTATGATAATATTAAAATGTCACTGCAAAATAACCAAGATGGTGGACAGAATATCATCTCCGTGCTTGACCTTATTGGTCATGTTGTTTTCCAACACCTTTAAGAGCATTGTTTCAATGTGCAGTAGAATACGAGATGATTCTGTGGATACTTGTCTCTAATGGTCACTATCACAAGTTAAAATATATATATATTAAACTGTGCAATTTAATATCTGCCCACCTCTATGCCTCTCTTTCCATCTATCAATAGGACTAGCCCAGTGCTGTGCTAATATCCCAGTTCTGTAGATTGCTGGACAAACCATTTCTCAAGCTGTAGAAAAGACAGGCTTGAATAACTAAATGGGAGCAAAATCCAATTTTCTGGGTCAGTGAAAATTTTTATTTTGGCTTTCTGTTCTTTTGTTCCTTCTTTTGTATATTTGGAAAAAGCTAAATAGAGGCCAGTCAGAAGAGAATGAAATCTGTGCTTGTGGGGAGGGATGGCTGTGTCATGACAACTGTTCGTGTCTCATTCTACTATCCTCTCTTTCACTCATTATCCTTGTGTTGTTTGTTGTGGTTGTTGTTGTTTTTTAAATCTGCTTTGTATTAATTGAACAGGAATGCTCTAAACTGTGTCCTCCAGGCTTCTCTCTGAGGAGATTTTTTCGTGCAATCCATCGTCATCAGCCTTTCCTTATGTGAGGGTCCCATTTCCCATCTTCTCTATGCAGTGCTGAGGGTCAGAAACTTGAGTTTTGCTTAGGTTCATTCCCCATTTCAAACAAGCTGAAGTGCTTGTAACCATGTGAACACAGGAACTGTGGCTGTCCACACCTCAAGGCTTAACCCTGAAAAGGGGCAGATCCTAATACAAGACCAGGGTTGGAAATAAAACATGACTTATTTGGGGTATTATTTATGTAAAGCCTGATCTAAGCAAAGGTTGTTTCATAAAAGGCAGAGCTGGTGGAAAAGTTGAGAAGAGTAGTGACAGAGGCTCATGTTCTCATGGAAGAATTGCCCCTTCCCTACTGGGTTGGCCACAGGTTGGCTATTTCCTTGCTGCCATGCAGAACAGATGAGCTGGTTGTTGTCCCATACATCCCCCAGGGATTTCTTTGCTGTGAATTAGAAGGGATGAAAAAGCTTTTCATCTACGTCTTCTCAGATTAATGCACTACGGCAGCAGCAAAAGTAAAAACAAAAAATACATGTACTCGTCTGTGTTACATAAGAATGTATTTCTGAGTGCTTCCCCTCTGTTCCTGTGAGCTCAAGGCTTATCACGTCCTTCAGCAAGCACTGAGGAATTTGAATTTATTTGAACTGAGAATAGTGGCTGCATAGCAGAATGTTAAGCAGCAAGACGGAAAAGACTTTATCTGATGTTTCTCCTTTTTAAGATAAACAGCTAAGTAAACTCTAGCATCCTCTGCTGCTGGCAGACCAAGTGCTTTTCTTCATCATTAGTGAGTATCTCTGCCAGTTAGTTAAATAACTAGGTCAGCCTGGGAAAAAAACATGTTCCGTGGTCTTCTGTGCTGTCCCTCCTGCTTTCCCATGTGTTTCTCTTTCTAAACCATTTCTCAGCTGCCCTAGACAGGAGCAAATTTATGCTTTCCTGATTGGCAAAATCTCCTTCACCGCAGCCACTGAGCTGCCCGTACCAGAGCCTCCGTGATGGCTGGGACTTGGGGAAATTTCCTGCTCCTGTTGCATGGATTCATATTGCATTTGTCTGATGGGGTTAATTATTTCTAATTTGCAGGTGCTCTCAGTGCAGTCATGCCACATGCATTTGGTCTTCTGTCTACTAGCTTGGAGCCAGACTTGAATCTATACTTCTGTATATGTGAATGGACAGTTATATAGCTTATGCTCTCCCTAACATAGCCATTCTTTTTCAGGGTTGCCTTCCATTCCCTGCTGCTACTGAGACCAAGAGCTTTTCCTCCTGAAATTTTCTAAGAGCAGCAATAATTTGCATTTTAGTATTAATACGTGGTGTTGATTGCCCTATCATCCATCCATGTCATACATCTCTAGTGTAAAAATTTGGGTTTTGTGAGAGTTTTGGTAGAAAGTTTTAATAGTTGAGCAAGTGGAGAATCCCTTTTGTTCCATTTAGCAACAGTTTCTTTTCTTACGTTTTTATCATTGTGACTTTAATGATTTTATTATTTTTTTTAATGAGCATTGTTGCCTTTTTAAAGCCTAATCTTCCTATAATGAAATGCGTCTCAGAGGGAAAATTATTTGGTAATAATATATTTGTAGGCTTCACTCTGAAAATGAATACAGTGCCCAAACTGTTGGGATTGTCCCTTATGTGTCAGACCTTCAAAGGCAGCGGGGAACTGGGCTGCACCCAGGGAACCCTGCAGCCCTCTGCTCCTGGGCAGCCCCATGGGGCAGCATGAGCAGATTTTGACCAACACTGCAGGCCGTACCTGAAGACTGCCTGGATGTGCAATGACAAAGGATGTTTCTTTGCAGACAGCCTGTTTCTAATAGCTTTGCTTCAATGGCATTTCACCAGCAGTGGGATTCATTAATATCTTATTCATCCCTGATCCCAGAGCTCAATCCCAGGCTCATGTAGGAGCTACGCACATGATCAGGAGATGGGCTGAGGTGCTCGTGCCTCCTCCTCAGCTACACTGAAAGTCAAGTTTGGCAGTGGCTCAAGGTTTAGTTTTCTTCAGAAGCTTAGCAGCAGCTGAGCTCAATGAAGGCAATCAGGAAGCCTCAGCAGGAGGCTGACGTTGGCGTCACCCTCCCTCTATTGAGCTCCCTTTTTTGTTTGTGTCCCTGTTTCTAAGTAAAACCTCCACTTCAAAATGTCCCCATGTAAGACAGCGAGGAGCTGCTAAGAGTTTACTGAAGGAATGGCAGCTAAGTGCATGATGGTGTGGATGCACCTATGGCTTCAGGCCCCTGTGCTGCCCATCCCTGTGTCCCCTGTCCCTTGTCTGTCCAATGCAGGCAAGCCCACACCTGCCTCTGGCTGCTGTCGTATAGGGGCATTGCCAAGAGAGCTGCTGCTCCACTGACTCATAGCGTGTCATCTTGAATGGCAGAAAGTACATGGATGGGAGGGGAAGACTCTGGCAAAGTACCAAGAAGGAAGTGGGGGCAATAATGCCTGCGAAAGCTGAACTGAACTGCACACAATGATCCCGCAGAGGTAGGTATCAGGTTGTGTATTTTATGCAGACAATATTGTTAACATGTGAAATGTGCTAAAAGTTGTCTGATAGGATCACCTGGGTATCTCACACATAAATAGAGTGTATCGAGATAGAAGCAGAACAGATGGCCCCGCTCCCTGCACACCTTGCTGACCATCAACACGTACAGCCAAAATCTCACTGTCTTCGAAGCTGATCATCTGCAAAGGCAAGGGTTAGCCTTGTGCTACCTGGTATCTGTAGTGCACTAACACTCTTGGAGCACTAATTAAAATATCCTGGAAAGAGAGCAGAGCCCAGACTTGCCTGAACTTGTTAATGCCCCAGCAGAGCAAATCACCTGTTGTAGAGCTCAGGCTCTCAAAATCAGTTAAGTTACAAAGAAAAAAAAACCTGAGTTGAAGTCTGATTGACAGTGGAAAGAGCCCAGAGCTGGGGAGCTGGCTCTGCCTAGAGCTGATAAACATGCAACAGGGTCTGCTCCTCGCTCTCATCTTTACCTTGGATGCTGCTGAGCCCAAACGTTGCTGTTCAGTGGATTAACCAGGACTGTAAGGCTTTTCATGCCTTCTTGTTGGGTTCAACAGATGTAAAAGGGAATTATCACTTCGACATGATATCAAGACTTTTTTTTAAAGCTGATGGCAGATTACTAAGGCTGTATTCTTGTTTAATTTTAGTGTGTTAATTGATGGGATAATGAGCATTGATTATATGTGTTTTGGCTGCATCATTGCAATTACAGGCTCTGTTTTATTCATGAGCCTGTCCTAAAGAACGCTAGAGATCTAAGACAGCTTAAACCTCTCAGAAAAAGGCTCTGAATTGTTTGAGTAATGACACTCTTAGATGGAAAATTAAAGGTTCTCTTTTCCCATGCTTTTTAAGATAATTAAAATCCACGAACGGTAAGGTGGTGAACATCCTTATTCATTAGCCTTCGGTAATTTAGCTTCTACTAAATGAGGAAAACATTTTAATTCTCTAGGCCATCTGTTGCAGTCTCCTTTATGTGTCCTGTTACATAAGGACTCATTCTGGGAAGTTTTGACATCACCCCATATCCTTTCCCTAGAAGGATGCGCTGGATGAGGTGGCTGCGATTGCTGCCTTTTACCAGCCACCATGGGATGAAAACAGCTGCTCAGTGCTTGGTGTCCCGGCAGGGAATGCTGACCTCTCTAGGAAAGGATCCACAGCAAGGAAGCAAGCAGTGTGACACACAGCCTGTTTTCTAATAGCAAGATTTGTGCCAATAAATATAATAAATCAGATCGCTCAGCACTGCCTTGCAGAGGCTGCTTTTAATCCCAAGCGTTTACTGATCCTGAGATCACCAGGTATTGCTTCCATTATTTATGGGGCACGGCTGTGGGCAGGCTGCTTGTACAGAGCCGAGCTTGCAACCACCTGTTTGCTGTTGCTTGAGTTGCTTAGAGATCACAAACGCTGATCACAAGAGCAATGTGCGGCTGCAGAGCCAGCATCCCCAGCACCAAGCATTACTCTGTCAACCCTGCGCCCACCACGAAGAGCCCTCCAGCTGCAGCAGGCATGCCCAAGCGGTGAGTGATGGCTTTAATCTTTGCATCTCTAGTGATTTCTGCCTGTAAGTCATTATCTGGGTGTGTATTTCTGCAATTAGCTTTCTGGGACTTGACAGAGGTTGCCATGCCTCTCTCTGGCAATTTAACGCTCATCTAAACAGCCCCAGCATTTTCAGTCTGTCCTTGCAGGGGAGGGGTTCCATCCCTGAGCATCCCTGGGATATTGGTCTTCATGCTGTGAAGGAAAGCTTTTCTCCCTTGGGAAGTCCTGGAATTCCAGGGGATAAAATGCAGTAAACATGAGCAAGGTCATCCAGGAGAAACTATACACATGCATCAGGTGATAACTGTGCCTCTTTTCTCTCTCCCTTCAGCATACCCATAACCAAGCAGCTGGCATCAATAAAAGGTAAGGGGCTCCACCCTCAGTGTTCATGATTTCTCCTCTCCTACTCACCTTTCCCTTAACATCACAGTCAAACCACATCCAGGATCTAACAGTAACTGTGAGCAGGGAGTGTATGGTTTTCAAGGTGTGGTTTAGGAGCAAGGAGAGAAGCCCAGCCAAATATTTCAGCAAAAATTCCAAATACACCACAAAGCTAGTGTGAAGCTCTGCTGCTGATGCTTACTAGTTGGGCTATGTTTCCTTGCCAGGAGTCCTGGGAGCCAACACCTATCAGGAGGTGGCTGGCAGGTCCCTTTGGGGACCAGACAGGCTCACCCTAACCCCTGTCCTTGCCCAGCATACCCCAGCTGTGATAAAACCTGCACTCACTATGGGACAGGTGGTATGGGGCTGGCCCACTCCATATAAAATCTAGGCTAGGTCCTCTGTGGGTATAGACACTTTCAGGCTCATTAACTTTAATGAAATGGCACTGATTGCTACCCACTCAGGATGCTTCTGACAGATTCCTTTCAATTATACCACAAACACTGCTTTTTCTGATAGGCTGGTTACTTTTTTTTCCCCCCTAGCTCTAGAAAAAGGCTCAGACCTTGAAAAAGCTTTTGCTACTGCTGCACTAGTGTATAACAACTCTGCTGACCCTGAGGGCAAACTCAGCAAAGCTGAAACCAAGAGCCTGCTGCAAACCCAGTTTTCAAGATTCATACAGGTGAGAGAATCCGAGCATCTTGGGCCTTGTTCCACTGCTGTGTGTGCATCCATCCATGGGGTAATCCCAGGTGAGATGCCACTAGGCTTGGTGCAAACATCTTTAGTTGATTAGACGTAGTCTCAATATAAAGCGAGAACATGGAGTTTGGTGAGGAGTGGCAACAATAAACCACTGTTGTTGCACCTGCTTGAGCTCTTGCTAATAAGGCACTGTGATCACAAACCAATGAGGAAACAAGCCCTTGGATGATGACAAGTCCTTGTGCGTTTATGGGGTAAGAAACTTATGGCAATTGATTAGGTGGTTGGTGGTTTGCCAGAGCACTGGCCTGATACCAGGAGGGTTGTCCCCATGCTGCAGAGGTACGTATCCCACCAGTGAGCAGCAGGGTGTGGAAAGCTCCTCCTATCCATCTCTCAAAATCAAAAACAACAGGAGTTTTATCTAAGTGGTAAAAATACATTTGTAAAACGAGTGCCTTTTTTGGTTTGGATTGAGGGTTTGAGAGTGTGTGTGTATTTTGGACGTCCCTTCCAACCCCTACAGTTCTGTGATTCTGTGATTTTGTTTGTTTGTTGTTTGTTTTTTAATCAATTAAGTAAGTGAGAGAGATATTTAGGACTAAAACATATGTACCATATGAAGATAAAACATATTCCATAGCAACAGCAATATCCAACAGGGTAGAGAATGGCATCCATTGAATTGATGTGTCTTAAAATCCACAGTTCCTACGAACTTAGTCAAGGACCTGTCTCGATTACTAAGGTTGGGTATTTTTTATTTCTTCATCCCCATTTTACTGAGGAACAGGGCTCCATTGCTTCCCAGCACAGCTGTTGGCACACTGCTGCAGTTACCAGCTGCATGCATCACTGCCTGGTTTTCCGTTGTCATTGGGCATCTTCTGAAGGATGTGTTCTGGATTCACATGGTTGTTCAATATTTCTGATGGAGTTTCTTGGGATAATTTTAGAAAAAGTAGTGTGAGTGTGGACTTGAAAATCTGAATAGGAAGATAGAAAATACGTTAATTGTTACATAGGTGTCTTGCTTTGTTGTGGGATTTTTGTGTTTGATCAGTTGTTTTTTTAACAGGTGATGCAATAAAAAAGGAGCTTTGTGCTTAATGTTGTTTTTCTCACTGATGATTCTCCACAGGGCCAGGAAAACAAGCCGAAGTACCAGGAAATTATTTCTGCCCTGGATGAGGAGCCAGAGAAGAAAATTGATTTTGAAGATTTCATGATCTCGCTGGTCAGCCTCGCTCTGCTGTCTGACCTGCTGCAGGAGATCAAAAACGTGAAATCCACGAAATGATGAGTGCTTTGTAAGGAAAGCAGGGGTGAAATGCACACAGAGATAACACTGAGTGCTGCATCCCTTCTGCTCTTGCCTTTGAAATGGAATAAAGCCTTGCCCAAAGCAGCTACCTGTAGATGATGTGCTGGTTGGGGTTTTTGCTGCTCTGGGAGCTGCAGCCCTGAGCTCTGAGTGCCAATGGAGCAGTATGTATGGGGCTCCCAGTCAGCAGCCAGGGGAAAATCTGCTGCAGGTTTTGGTAAACACTGGCTTGAGTCCATGTGCTTGGCAACCCACTGCTAAGCCTTCTGAATGGAGCTTTATTTATTGATGCATTTGTTTTTATTTCCTCCTCCAGGCTCAATGGGTGACCGCTATGGAAGGAATTTCAAGTCCAGTGTTTGCAGTGGTGTGCTTGTGTAACCACGGGGTGAGCTAGGTCCACGTGTCAACCAAGTCCATGGTTTCATGAAAATGTGAGGAGAAGAAAGCAGATAAGGGATAGTCAAGAGAAGGGATGGTGGGCAAGGGGCACCTAACGAAGCACAGGTTTGTTAACAGAGCCAACAAAGCAGTGCAACCCCTTTCATTTCCTTTTCTTCCTAGCTAGAAAAGAAGACAATGACAACTATTTAGCTTTGGTACATAATTTTTTAAATAGGAAGGCATCAAATGCTTTGGTGCTAAAAGAGGGGAAATTAGTGTCAGCTGAGTAACAAGCTTTAACTCCTTGACACAAAAAGGGTTTTAGTGTTCTCAGAGCTAAGAAGATGACTTGTAATGGATTTTGGTGTGAAGAAAGAAGAGCTGCAGCAGGGGGTTGGAAGCCAGCTGTTTTGGGAGAACAGGTCTGCATCATCATGCAGCATGGGATGGAGCTGAGAGGAGTGTGAATAGGTTTCAGAAGGGAGCTCAGCAGGCAAGGTGCTGCTCCATGGGGCTGATTCCAGGGCAAAGATGTTGTCTGGAGGTGAAATATTCGCAGATTAAAGTGAAGATTTAATCTGGTAGCTTCACCTCCAGGAGTATCATGGCTTTGTGTTGGTAATGTGCCCTCAGCATCTTCTGCCAATCCCTTGTTTTCAGCCCAGGCAGAAGATCTGTGGAATCATACAAAATAAGCAGGTAGGAGAAGGATTGAATGTGAGTCCCTAGAAGGCTTTTCCTATTACTGAAGTACTGAAGACATAGCACTGCTTTGAAAAGCTTGTTTGAGAGACACTCAAACTTTTCAAACCCCATCTTCGAAATAAGGAATTTCTTAATATCCCTCTGTTACAACAAAAGACAAAAAGAACAATACTGTGAAGCCAATTAAGACAGTGTTCTTTGAAGTTGCTGAGGCCCTAACACAGTTTCTGTTACTGGTGAAACGTTTCTTAATCTTGCATGACTTGAATTAATGACTTAAGAGCCTTTTATCAGATCAGCTCACTCTGTCATCTCATCATGTGCAAACCCTTCATATTCTAATGCAGCTGGTGTGATGCACTAGTGTTCAGACTGCCTGGATTCTATCCAAAGCCTTTGTGCAATGCGCAGCGGAAATCCAGAGTTGGAAGCATAACTCAATATTGAAACGGTCAGGAGGGAATCAGAGGTGCAGAGAAACTGTGTACATGTAGCAGAGCTGGAGCTGGGTGCCAGAGCTTCACAGGAGTGTAGTGATTGTTTCTGAACAGCATGAATGGGATGTGCAGGTCTCCATCTGCATTCGTCTTTGACAGCCCTGCCTGATGCTCTAAAGCAGGGGAATGCAGGAAGATGTTAGTCTGGATATTAGGAGAAAGTTCTTTCTCAGAAAGAGTGCTGAGGCTCTGACATAGGCAGCTCAGGGAAGTAGTTGTCATCCCTGGAGGTGTTGAAGAGCTGTGGAGATGTGACACTGAGGGATGTGGTTGGTGAGCATGGTGGGGGTGGGCGATGGTTGGGTTAGATGATCTTAGTGGTCTCTTCCAACTTTAATGATTCTATGATTCTAAGAGCCCCAGCATCTCCTTCTAGACTGCAGTAGGCAGGAGTTTGCAGCTCGGCTGTGGAAGATGCTCTTTTATTAGCTCAGACTATTTGCGGCCGCCCCGAGCACTCAGCTGACAGCTTTGAAGCTGATCTGGCACAGACAGCATGTCTGGCTGCATCCTTGGGGAGCTGGCTAAAAGCTTGCTTAAAAGGCTACCGTTGTGCTTTATTTCATTCCTAGCTTGCTTCTATTGGAAGTGATGGGAGTTCATCATTGATTTCTCATAGCAGAGCCCACGCAAGTGCTAAGGAGTAGGCAGCTAAATTGATGAGATGCTAAATTGCATCTCCTCTGTAAGTGTGAACGTCCCATAGCTGATGTTCAATAGCTGATTCCCTCCCCTTGAAGTGAAAGCAGCTTGAAGAGCAGCTACTCAACACCTGACCTCTGTGGGCTTGGGCTTGGGAAGCTCTGCAGGCTTTGGATCTCAGTTTTAAGTTCTGTTCTGAAAGCTCTGAGTCATACCTGCAGGTCTGCGTGCTTCCAAATGACTGCCAGAGGAGAAATGGGGGTCAAGGAAGCTTCATCCTCAGATCTTTGGCTCAAGAGGATAGAGTAATTCTCATACTCCAATTAGCACACCCAGGTCAATAGGTTCTTACTTTATATTTGGACTTAAATCTGCAGCCTGCTAGACTTGGGAGGCTGGGGCAGTCTGACTCTAGCCCAGTCTCTGCCAGGAACCCAAGGCCACGTGCACTAGGCTTGCAAACTTTCACGAAACTTTTAGTAAAGAGAAACGTGTTCCCCAGCTGGCTCACTGTTCTTGTACCCTCAGCAAGACCTGGCTGGGACCCTGGGGCTGAAACCTTGCAGTCTGAGGGATGTATTGCTGGGTGCCTCTTTGCCTCAAGGTGTTTGTCACTTTTTTTTTTGTGTGTTGAATAGAACTTCTTAGTCCACCACAGCAGCAGATAACTCCCCTCCAGCCCTGGGAGCTCACTTCAGAGCAGATGACAAGCTTTGTCCCAGAATTATGTACTCTCCAAAGCACTGCAGTTTGTGAGCCACAAAGGAGCATTCAAACACCAATGGAAGAAAGAAAACCTTTTTGTTTTGGGTTCAGTCAGGGAAGCTAGATAAAGAAGAAATAGTGTTTTTTATGGCGCTCTGAACCAAGAGCTTATAATTCCTGTACTGACTTTTACTGCAGCCAGTAGTTTACATGGTTTCTGGTGAAGCTACATCTTCTCTCCTTGCTTGTCTGCTGCTCCCTCATCCCACAAGTGTTTATAGCCTTAGCTCTGAGTCTTCCTCCAGCAAAGGCAAACAGTGCACTGTGTTCAGCAGCCAGATACATCAGCCTGTCTTTCTAATCCCCAGCTGCACAAATCAGCCATTAGACTTAGATAGATTCAGAGCCACAGGACTTATCTTTTATTCATTGTTATTGTAGGAGTGAGTTTATGTTATGCACATCCACAACAAGAGCCAGTCTCAATCTCTGACATGTAACAAGGACGTGAAAATGTGATCCCCAAAATGAAAATAAAGGAATTCATGGGAGCAGCCCTAGGGCTAGCCCTAGTGCTGGGTGTCTGCAGCAGAATCTCCCTGAAGGTGTTCAAGAGAAGGGTAGACACGGCACTGAGGGACATGGTTTTGTGGGCATGGTGGGGATGGGTTGATGGTTGGGCTTTGTGATCTTAGTGGTCTTTTCTAACCTCAGTGATTCTATGCTTGTTGTGCATAGTTGGTGTAATGCCCTTTTCACTCTTCCTCCCATTCAAAGGTTCTGAAAAAGCCAACTTGGGCAGTGGCAATCACTTCTGGGCCAAAACACAAGTTGGGTTGAGCACAACTTCTTTCTTCTTCTCCCTTCTCCATGGTCTGCTCTCCTCACCTGCTGTTTTCTAGATTTTTTTTTTTTTTTTTCCGTCTGGAGATGCACAAGGCACATCACACACTGCTGAAATCAATGAGAGTTTGAGATCCTCAGGCAGACTTGTTTCAGGCCCTCCAGCCCAAATGGGTGCAGAAGCTCATTAGTGGGTGAAATCAAGCCCTTTTTGACCTGTTTGACTTGTGATGATCAATAACTGACATGCAGGATCCATGAAGCTCTTCCACCCTCACAACCCCCCAGCAGCAAGCAGCAGCTGCTCAGCCTCAGGGTACCCTCATGCCACCAGAGCAGAAGACAGCAAGTCACAGTGAGCAATCTATGCACAAGTCTTGCCTTACCACTCATGATTTCTGCAGGGCTGAGTAAGGGTCAGTCAATGCTACCAAACAGCAAGCTCTCTGGGAAGGCAGCTAAAGCTAACATAACTTTCGGCTGGATAATTTCGTGAGTGTTCACTCTCTGCTTCAGTCTGAAGAATGAAGCTGGGCAGTACTGGAAATAAACCAAGTATTCCTACACTGGAGACAAGCAGAAAGATCTACAGCCCAGTGCTGAGATTTTCCCTTCTCCAAAGGTGTCCCAGAGCCCTCCATCTATTCCTGTGATTCTTGTTTCTAGGAACACATGCTGGTCTACTTTGGCTTCTGGGCTGTTGGAGGAAGTCTGTGTACAAATGCCAACCCATTTCCCACACCTGCTAGTGGATGTTCTTTGATTTAGTTCTGTATTTGTGTCCAGCTTCCACCTGATGCCCTTTTGGGGTTTGTTTGGAAACAGCATACACCAATAGTCACTCAGGTTAAGCCTCATGGGGTAGGTTGCTCCTGATAAGGTGTAAACACCACTGTGCTCAGCAGGTATGACTCTGCACCAAGGGAAGACCACTAACAGGTGATCTCCTTTTCCAAGACACTGCAACTAGTGCCAGGGTTTGCTCGGGTTCATGACCCCACTCTGAGGGTTTTATAGGATTTTGTCTAATTAATTTACGAAAACAAATTGCAAAATTACCTTCTTATTAAACTGCTCTCACTACAGAAATAAGGCTGATTACCTCCCTGACAAACTTTAATTAGGCAGCTACAATAAGCTGTAATACAGACCACAAATTAAAAACAGATTGTATTAGAGGTGGCTTTGTCAAATCCTGTATTAACACTGGGCAACATACACAGTGATTAAATGATACAGAAAAGCCCTTCTTTTCTCCTCTGGTAAGATCGCTCATTGCTGGAAGATGTTTCTGGAGTTTGTAGGAAA